AAATACTTTGCGATATAGTTACAACTCATCCAATAAGCCATAAAAATCTAATGTATTGTTTTAACTACTCTTACGTCCTTTCAAGCTCAATTAGCCATCATTTCCTCAGGAGGGAATCATATGAGAGTTCCTCAGCCTAGCCATATGACGAAAAATGAGAAAACTTTGTCATTTATACCGCAGTATGTGCTGTTGTGCTTGTGGGATGTTCACCAACTAATCTAAAGTGATTAGTTCATGTAAATTTTATGCACTTGGCTTCATTAAGCAAACGCTGACACGTTACACACACGTTACACACACGTTACACTACACGTTACACCTACTTTACATAATAATCTATAGTAAAATATATAGAAATATGACACGTTACACACGTTACACCCATTGTTTTTTATAAAAAAATATATATATATATATATATATATATATATATATATATATATATATATATATATATATATCCCATTGTTTTTAAAAATAAATATATATATATATTTATTTTTAAAAACAATGGGTGTAAATATATATATATATATATATATATATATATATATATATATATATATATATATATTTATTTTTAAAAACAATGGGTGTAACGTGTCATATCTCTATATGTTTTACTACAGATTATTATGTAACGTGTGGTGTAACGTGTGGTGTAACGTGTGCGTAACGTGTCTAGTCAGTACAGAAAAATAGATTGATATTTTGCGCATGTGCGACCAGATTTGCTTGAGCTCATCTCATCTCACGTAATCCCAAAATCATAGGAGATGGAAGTTTGCAATAAATTCTAGTGCAAGTTTAAAATCTAGTGAGTATGTCAATCTTACGTAACAATTCAGCTAAAAGTAGGAAAATCATTGAAATTTTTCCAAAATTGTTTGTAAGCAGGGTCAGAACGATGCGTTTTCTGTTATAAAATTCTTGGACACAAAGGAAATATTCTGTTTGAGGGAAAAAATATACTCATGATTGTCAGCCATGGGAAAAAATGGTCTGAAATTTATTCATTATTTTATAATCTTCCAATGTATATATTCATCAATTAATCGTCCTTTCCTAACAAAAAATAACTATAGTTCTCAAGATCCCCTATATTTTTTTTTACATGAAGTACTCAGTTATAGAAAACCGCTGAGAAAAATATTATATACACGCGTAAAAACGCTCAGGTTGATGCAATACTGATGAAAACAGGATTGAACAATGCTTTGCTGCCCACATTGTTCACAGTTGTCAACAATGTTGAACAATGTTGTTACACCCGATTCAGGCTCGACAATATTGTTCAATATTGTTGACAAGTGTGAACAACGTGGGCAGCAAGACATTGTTCAATCCTATTGAGCAGCGGGCTCGGCGTTTTTTGCCGTGTACACAGCAAAAAACGCCATGTTGTTGAAAACAGGCTTGAACAACGTTTTGCTGCCCTCATTGTTCACAGTTGTCAACAATATTGAACAATATTGTTACACACGATTCGGGCTCAACAATATTGTTCAATATTGTTGACAAGTGTGAATAACGGTGGCAGCAAAACATTGTTCAAGCCTGTTTTCAACAACACACAGCAAAAAACGCCAGCCTGTAACAATGTTGTTGAAAATAGGCATTTTTAGGGAAAAATGAAAGTTTGCATGAATAGTTAAGGGGCTTAAACTAAAGCAAATTGTCTGAAATTTTAAAAACCCAATACATTTTCCATCTATCTACTCAGAATATGATTAAAGCTTTTAAATTTTGTGCGCAAGCCATTTTTAGTTTGTTTGAAAAGACACCTGGTTCACAAAATTTAAGTTCGGGAAATTTTTTTCATTATTCTACATTATAAGTACTTAAAGAAGCTATATACATCAAAAACTGGAGAGTAATAACTGTTTTGCGAAATTGAGAGCAATTTCAAATTTGTTCAGTTTTTTTTATACACCCTGTATAACTGTATACACTTAGATTTGTACTCTTTCTTACATTTTTAGACCTTTTATAATCAACATTCCGATTCGAATGCGATAAACAAACATCGTATCGATCCATTTTTGAGAGCTCAACATGTTCGTCTGGTTGTTGTTTCCTTCACTGGAACTTATCCTTGTATGCGTGTTGAACTGTATGGCTGTCCAGAATGTAAGTATTGCTATGGTATTAGGTTTAATTATATGCATTTTACTACATGAAGTACTGAGTACGAGACCACAGTTGAGACTGCTGGTCAGTAGCCCGCAATAAAAGGAACTGTCCGCCATTTTGTTAGTAGTTAGTTTAGATTTAGTATAACAAATATGTTGTTTTAAGGCACATTTCCACTCAGGAAAATTTCCTGTAGAAAGAAAATTTTGTAAAGCTTGATTGGCCGATACAAATTTTACGTCGGAAAAAAATTTTGAAGTTGAAAATATTTTTGAAGTTTTAACAATGATATTTGATTTTTTTAACAATGAAATGAGCCTCTACATCGCTTTGCTCCCATTTACACGATACCAGATTCCTCCAACCCATTGAACTCTATGAATACTGGAATGATAGCTCCAGGTAAACTGCCCTTACAGAGTGCTCTCTTGTAGGTATAAATCACGCGTGTTTTTCGCGCGTGTGCTTCGCGGGAGCTGAAAAATGACTATAGTTTTCCACTTTTCCCATCGATGTTTTTCAATTTTTGCACATAATTTATAGTGACATAAATGCACATTTTAATGGTAAATCCCATACCTAAAAGCTAAAAACTAAATGAAAAGGTAAAATTGGTGCAACTGCAGTCCATATTATTCTGTGTTCAGTTCAAATCCCTCATACACAGTCCTGAAAAACAAACGTTTGCTGGTGTTTCTCCGCGGGGTTTTTTCTGAACTTGGTCTTCACTCGTCAAATAACTTCACTTTTTATGATGAATTGTTTCTAAAATTTGGTTATTCTGAAAGACCAGTTGTTCTAGTTTCTTAGGGCCACGGTAAAGCCGGACTTGAAATTTCTACATGAAATGATGTCGATTTTTCGTACTGAATTCAGTGAATTTACGCGTAGGGACCTGGATCATACCTACAATACGGGCTTCAATTTCCGCCTTTTTGGCTTCAAAAATCAAGCCCTGATAACAGTCCAGTATTTATAACTGATAACAGTCCAGTATTCATAGAGTTCACTGATCCAACCTCGTCCCCAGGGCATTTTGCCTTCACGGCTAAAGGTGGCCCTGAGATCGGCTGATCAATTCTACAATCCCATTGGTCTGTTCAAAAACGCATTAATTATCTTGCAACCCCAGTACTTTAAAATTATTGTGTTTTATACGGTAAACTTAGAAAATACCGAGAGATTAGTGAAGATTCACTTACGTCTTATATACTTGCTGTATTATGTGTTTGTTGGACTCATCCATATCATGGCCGGATTTTGAGGGGAGGTGTGGGGAGATGCGCACCTCCCCTCAGATCTTTTGCACCCCCATCCCTGAGAGTTTTTGCACCTCCCCTTGGGCCAAATAAAAATAATAGTTGGTTTCAGGTTTCCGACCGACCTGTCAAAAATATGACCGACCATAAACATTTTATTGATATTTCCCAGTAGAGATCATCTTTTCGTAAATAGCAGAGTATATAAATAGTCATCAGACTCATTTGCCTACAAATTATTTTGTTTGCTTATAATTTAATCATTATCTAGTCATGTTAATCATAGTTTTATACAAATAGTTGCATAAAATATTGAAAACGTACATTATTCTGACATGGCAGCTACGGCTGAAAAAAGACGAAAACGCCTTGATGCGTTTGTTTCTCGCGAAACATATGTAGCTCGTGGGTGATCCCGCTTGGCACGTTTGATCACGCGTGACAGTTACTCATAAACAATGGTGGCGCGAGAAACGCTTGATAATGAGTTTTAACTTATATTTATTGCATACTTGAGATAAAATATTTTTTAAAATAAAATGTTTTTCCGACCTACCTACCCATATAAACATGGCTGTGAAACCTGAAACCAACTATTATTTTTATTCGGCCTTGGGAAAATTTCAATGATAGATCAAAGTGAAAATTTGACATTTTTTGGTGGCTTAGGGTCTACACTCCGTAAGAAAGTTTTTTTCTGTAAAATTGAAATAGTGATAGCCATTCATCTCTGTGTCAAATACCCTCTTAATGCAATGATTTGAAAGAAACTTAATAGTAATTGTAATGAAGGGCAAAATTGGATGAGTTGTACAGTCATAATTCATTAATACACTGGTACATATATGCACATTACATGCACCAGTACGTTATGTCGTTGATTTTGACCCTTTCTAAGCCCTATGAAATGTGGTCGTGGGCTATGGGGGTCGTGAGCTAGCCCGCTGCACCTCCCACAACCCACCCCACCCCCACTATTTCCACCAAAAGCCAGCCTTGATGGATATAGGAAGAAATTTGCAAGCTTACTGCTCTTAAAATAAAGTCTAGATGAACAAGTTGGCAAATTGTTCATTAGTTCTCAATTATTATTCGTAACACGCAGAAATTCTGGGTGTCATGTGACCTATCCCAGGGCCATTTTCGCCGACCATCAGCCGTGGCGGCAAAATGCCCTGGGGACGAGGTTGAGACAGTGAACTCTATAAAAACTGGAACGATAACTCAGGCTTGATTTTTGAAGCCGAAGATGGCGGAAATTGAATCTCGTCTTGTAGGTAAAAGTTATTTGACGACGGAAAAACAAGTTCAGAAAACACCTCGCGGAGAGACACCAGCAAAAGTCTGTTTTAGGGATGAGCCGATTAATCGGTAAATAATCGGCCAAGCCGATTAATCGGCCGTTTTTTAAATAATCGGTAATCAGCCGATTATTGCCTGATAATCGGCACATAATCGGCCATAAGACTTTTTCTGCAACTGCCGAGCACATGCTAGAATACTGAATACAAGCGAATAGATTTTCACATTTTGTTGCAAAACCTGCGTCTTTTGTCTCAAGCGAAGTGAAGCTGGGAACATATCCACTGAAAAACGCAGCAGAATAGCTTCGCATAGCTGACAATATCCTGTTTTCACACCATAATCTGCCAAAACTTAACTTTGACTATTGACATGCAAGATTGAAGCTGTTTTTAATTTTACATAGTGTGTACTGTAAACAATAAAACCGCATTTACAACTTCATTGTTGGTCAATTTGTGATTTTTCGCTTGCTTTTTAAAATAATCGGCGGGTACCGATTAATCGGCCGATTAGTTACGATAATCGGCTTATAAATAATCGGCCTCAGTAATCGGCAATTTTCCTTATCGGCTCATCCCTAGTCTGTTTGTCTCGACTATATGAGGGATTTGAACTGAACACGGAATGATATGAACTGCAGTTGCGTCAGTTTTACCTTTTCATTTAGTTTTTAGCTTTTAGGTAGGGGATTTACCATTAAAATGAGCATTTATGTGCAAATATTGAAAAACATCGATCGGAAAACTTTAGTTATTTTTCAGCTCCCGCGAGGCCCACGCGAAAAACACGCGTGTTTTATACTGCACCTACAAGAGATCATTCTATAGGCCGCCATCTTGGCCCCACCCAATCATAGGAAAGTTTACCTGGAGTTATCGTATATAGAGTTCACTGGGTTGAGATTACTCTTCATATCGCATAGTCCAGTTCAATTGCGGCTTTGCTCTGCTTATTGGACCACCGTTCATCTGTAAATATTTATTCGATGATAAAGCTATTAAACTAAACTAAACTAAACTAAACTAAACTAAACTAAGCATAGTCTACTCCTACTATATAGATTGATCTAAATCTAATACAATAACTAGAGGTATTTTGGGGGTGAGAGGTTCGGTGTCGGTATTTTCAAGAGAAGGGCAATTGAAAGCGTTCGCTCAATAAATTTAACATGAAAATAAACGACTTATAAGTAGTTATGTGAAACAAAATCATCTCCATTGATATACGGGATGCACTTGTGAAATAAATATAATCTAAATAAAATAAAAAATGTCTTTGTTTGAGCAATCATTTTGTTATTATACAAACTAGGGGCGGCTCTAGCCTCATCTGCAAGGAGGGGTGCAGGTTTTCCATGAGGTGGTGCATGAGGGAGCCTTTCTGCTCACTTTCCTCTGCAGTCTTCAACACTATTATCCCAACATTACCATTATTTGAGATGGCCGAATCTGCATGTTCGCCGTTCCGTTACGTTTTACACTATGTTTTGTATATAAAGTTTATATCGGCCTTTTATCATAGTTGCTGTAGCACAATACAGTAAATTTGCTTGTTAAAGTACAGTATATTTGAAAATATACCTCGACATATTAATACGTATATAACCATGATATTTATAACTAAAAACTAAAGGATTCTCGAGTATTTTCTCGTGAGCTCACAAATCAATAAATCGTTTCAATTATTCGCTATTCGAAAAGGAGAAAATGTATACAGGGTTCGAAATAACGTTTCAACGTTTCTGATCATGGTGATCAGCATGCATGATTTTCTGCCGATTAAATGAAAATCTGGCCGATCAGTAAGATATACGTTCTGTTTATACGTTCTGTAACCGTGTTTTTGAAACAATGGTCAAATATATTTCTTGCCGATAAAGATGATCGGCAACCTTGCTTTTCTGCCGAACAAAAAGCAATTTCCTGCCGATTAATCACTCATCGTTTGTTATTTCCTGCCAATCACTCATCGCCCCCTCCCTTTCGTCCCCCCCTTTCAAAAACATTTTTCCGGAAAGCAAACATTTTTCCGGAAAATGTTGGCGACTGGTCGACGTTTCTTTTTCGAAAATTTTCCATAAAATTCTGGGGACCCCTTTCTTGAATTTTCTTTGGGGGGGGGGGGATGTTACACCCCCAGTAGTTCCGGCCCTGCCCACTTATTTTATTACGCACGGACACGATATTTCGGTTTGTTCTAAGGCAGCTTCATAAATATTTATTTTTTAACTTTCAGCTGCGGCCTCGGCAGCAAACTGCTATTCAACTCTTGGAATACGAGATGGAAACTTATTCCCAAATACGGTATTTACTGGCGACGAAGACATTCAACAATATAAACCACATAAAGGCAGGCTTGACAGTGGGAATGGTTGGTGTACTAACAATTTCGAAAAGCCAGTAATTCGGGTTTCCGTGAGCCAACGTGATTTAGAGGTAATATATTGCCGCCTTCTCAGCATACATTATATAACACCTCGTTAAATTCTGGTCATTTAATTGGCTGACTGTGATCACGTGATATGGAATAGAAATTAGGCCCTACAATTTTGCTAATCGTGAAACGCTTTCCGTTTCCTCCCGGGTTAGGATAAACACAGTTCAGAAAGTAATATCACTTGGCTATATAGAGAATAATACATGGGTGCGCGGAAATACCAGATTTATTTTCGAGTGTTGAACATGATATCTCATGCAAGAGTGAGCGCAGCGAACGAGTGAGATATCATGTTCAACACGAGAAATAAATCTGGTATTTCCAAGCACCCATGTATTTTTCTGTTTATTATATAAAGGTCAGTCAAAAGCGATAATTGAAAAGCGATAATTTTCACATGTGAAAAAATTATCATAAACTGATCTCACATGGGAGATTATCAGTTTTATCAGTGCTCGAAATCTGTATAAATCACTATACTTTATATAATAAAAGTATGTAATTAGGTAAGCATGATGCTTGATGTAAGGCGCATTTGATCATATCCACATATCCATTTGATCATATCTACATCTGCATTTGATCATATCCACATATCTATTTGATCAATTGATCATATCCACATATCCATTTGATCAATCCACATATCCATTTGATCAATCCACATATCTATTTGATCATATCCACATATCTGTTTGATCATATCCACATGTCCATTTGATTATATCCATTTGATCATATCCACATATCCATTTGACCATATCCACTTATCCATTTGATCGTATCCACATATCTATTTGATCATATCCACATATTCATTTGATCATATTTATATATCCATTTGTTTATATCTATTTGATCATATCCATTTGATCATATCCACACATCCATTTGATCACATCCACATATCAATTTGATCGTATACACATACCATTTGATCATATCCATTTCATCATCCATGCACATATCTGTTTGACCATATCCACATATCCATTTGATCGTATCCACACATCCATTTGATCATATCTACATATCCATTTGATCATATCCACATGTCCATTTGATCATATCTACATATCCATTTGATCATATCCACATGTCCATTTGATCATATCTACATATCCATTTGATCATATCTACATATCCATTTGATCATATCCACATGTCCATTTGATCATATATATCATATCCACATGTCCATCAAAACATTGATTGAACATGATATCTCAAGAGTGAGCGCAGCGAACGAGTGAGATATCATGTTCAACACGAGAAATAAATCTGCTATTTCCAAGCATCCATGTATTTTTCTGTTTATTACACTGACCTGAAAGGTCAAGTGTCTTAAATCCCTAGTTTTCTGTTTTCTGTTTTCGTCGAGAAATGGAGTTTGCGTTAGCCCATCGCAGGCTCAGTGTGCAACGATTAACCCAAAATGCCATCGATTCAAATGCCATTCGACTCCTCGACTGCTTGATTTAGTTTTCATAGTAACAAGGTCCGTATTTATGTACGTAGTAGCAGTCTCATGCTATGCTTGTGGTACATATTTAATTTCTTTATTAGCCCATACACTTGTACGCACGCGCACAAGTCAATTACCAGTTCTAAACCTCCTGAGTCCCTATATGCCTCAGAGACCATGTGTATTTACGGATAACGTTTGTATTTGTGAGTAATACTTGTGTTTCATTGGGCATTACGAAAACATCTTCTGAGGATCACGCCACGCTTTTAGCATTTCACCGTTTCTCTGTACTATATTGTATGGGATTTGTACCAAGCGAATTTATACAATAGAATAGAATATAAACAAGGACAAGTTTGACAGTTTGACTACAAAATATTGTATGCGCAGAGTAGAATTGTATACTCAATGTGTTTGTATCATATGCAATACACATATAGTCATTCGCGCATCCGTAATGTACAGTCAATTGCGCGACATCCGTGCTGGGTTCAAAGTTAACGTTTCGTCTTTAACTTAAGACATCTTCAGAGCAATGACATACAAAGCTAATAAACCTGCTAATTCAAAGCTAATAAACCTGCTACTGATCGACTTAAGACGTTTTACCCTCAGACGATACATCTGTACAAAACGCGGAAACATTTACTTGCTACTGATAACTACAAGAAACATACATTTTATTGTGTTACTCAGGGGCGGATCCAGCAAAAAATCTGACTGTAGCATAATACTAGATTTTGGAGGCACCAGGATATCTAGGGGGGTCCGGGGGCATGCCCCCCCGGAAAAATTTTGAAATTTGAACCCCGGAAACGCCGTTTCCTGCATTCTGAGCATCGAATTCTGTTCTAACATTTGACCCAGGAGTTGAATTTTATCGCGGCAATTGCCGTAGAGGGAGAACAAAATGCCGTGAATCATTGCGGCAACGACGGCAATTTTTTTCCGTATAGTGCAATTTTTATACTATTCACTGTGCGTTACTATTTTGGCACTCGAATTCAGATATTGATAAAATCATGCGTAAATCACTATCTTAGTCTCACTTTTCTTCGAAAAAAAAACTAAAGAAATACGTAGACATGTTTCTAGTTTGTCAAAAATCCAAAGACAAAGTAACATGCACAATAAAATTAAACTTTTATTACAGTAATTTGAAAAATGCCGTGGAACTGCCAAAATTGCCGTCGATTGATTTCAGGGAAATTCGTGGCCTGATTTGACCTTATTGTCGATTTCATATTACTTTTCAAAGCGCGGTTCAACTCGAACTTCGAATGTAAACAAATGTAAAAATTTCATTTAGAAATTTATGTAAATAGGCATTTTTCGTCTTGGGAGACCACTGGACAATATTTTACTGCACTCTGCAGTAATATGTGCATAGGTGGCCTTATACAGTAATTTCAACTCCAACTATGTCTATGAACATCTGTTTACAATCAAAGTTCGAACTTTGTCTTGAAATGAACTTGCAAACTTCGTTGCGAAGTTCTCGCCCAACTTCCGAACGTGACAACGTAATTGGTAAGTTCGCAACGAACTTGGGAACAGC